TGATACCCTGCAGGTGACTCAGAGACCCCACCAGCTCTGCCTGCGCCCCCCCGCCCCCGCCACCCCAGGGCTGTGTTGGCAGTGACCGGAGCCTGTGAAGAGGAAGGCGCTGGTCAACGGCGAGATTAGCATGGAGCCGGGGAGTGAGGTGACCTTGGGCTGAGGGAGAGGCCCTGCGAAGGAAGGCGGACAGCGCCCGGGGTCTGGGGTCTGAGGCCGATAGGGCAGGATCCATCACTGTGCTCTGAGCCCAGCTCCTCGGCCAGCTCCTCAGGAAAGTGGGTCCATGGGGTTCCTGGTGGGGATGGGGGCAGGGCCTCTGTGGAACCAGACGGTTGGGAAGAAAGTGCATTTCGTCACAAGACCCTGACCAGGCCTAGTGTGTCCCAGCACCCAGGATGGGACCCTGGGCTGGGTGGCACCTCCAGCTTCACTCCCAGATGCTGACCCCGTGGCCAGCTGGGCCCCAGAGGCGTTTCTTGCCCACAGTGGCGGGCAAAGGGGTCACGGCATCAGGCAGGCACACAAGGCCCCTGCACTCAGAGCCACGGTTCTAGCCCCCGCTCTGATGAAAGACAACCCTGGTCTCACTTTGCCTCTGCGTTTCCCGTGTTATACCTTCCAGGCGGCAATGAAATCCAGCGGGAAACCAGCAGTGCGCACGGCGCCAGCGTTGGGGACTGAATCATTCAGCGTTAAATTATTAAGTTTGCGTTTGAAGTTTCTGGGCAAGCCCATGTGTGCCAGAAGTCCCTCCCAGCCCCTCCTGAGGGGCCTGCAGCCCCCTGCAAGACCCCACCCCAAAACTGAAGAGCAACACCAACAACCCCTGAAGGTGCTTCCAGGGCCCGCTCCGGGCTGGAGCAGGATGGTGCCCTGGGGTGCGGGAGCCACGGCCGGCCCTCCATGGGACAGATGGGACTGGCAGGTGCCAGGCCTCCCTGGAGGGAGCAAAGGGGTCCCTGGGAGGGACTTCCAGGGAGGGCTGGGGCAGGGTGGCTGGCTGCTCTCTTCTGCCATCTGGAGTGACTCGTGGAGGCTACAAAGGGGACTCTGGATGGCAGGGGGTCCAAACCCAGCATCCTATGGTCTTCGGCAAACCTTGCTTTGGATCAGGGGTTCTGGCTTTGAGGGGCCAATCTGGAGGGTCATGCATTTCAAGAGCATGCAGAGGGCTGGGCTGGGAGCTGTATATACCCGTGCTGCCGGCTGGCCAGGGTCCCGCCGCCAGGCCTTGGCTGTGTCCAAACATGCATGTCCCAAATGCTTACCTCTTGGTGGGATACCCTTCCCATCATGCTGGCTCCCTGGAATCCACCCCCCGCCCAGGACCACCGCCTCTGTGCCCTGACACCACCCTGGACTGCACCCACATCCAGGGGCCTTCTGAACTCACTCCTCGATCTCAGCTATTTGGAAGTTTCCTGCTAAGCTCCCGCCTCTCTGGCTGGCTGCAGGTCTGGGGACGGTTCCCCAGTACCCAGGTCCTCTGCTGGGCACTCACGGGGCCACCAATACTACCACGGGAGCAGACCAGGCAGGGGGGCCGTTCGCAGCCGGTTCACCTCACGTCCTCACCACTTGCCCAGAGCTGGCCCTTCTCGGGCTCCACAGCTGCCCAGCCTCCCTCTCCCGGAGCGGGGCACCAGTCACTCTGACCCCGGACTGTCTCTTTCCCCTGGGAGAGCCTGAGTCCTGGTTGGGCCACACACCCCCAGCTCAGGGCCTGGGCACCTGTGAGAACTGAGGAGGGTCACCGTGTGGGTGCGGTGAGTGTAGGAGGGGAATGACAGAGAGAGGGACAGGGAGGCACTGGGAGGGCCAGACAGCATCTGTGGTCTGACGTGAGGACCTCTGTACTCCTCTGTTCCATGAGCCTGCGCTGCCCTGACACGACATGGCAGGACCCTGCCCAACCTGGCTGCCCTAAGGTCAACGGGGTGTCTCCCTCAGGTGGCTCATGAGGGTACCTGGGGTCATTAGTTGTAGGGCCTGCTGTGGACTCTGCTGAGGTCACCTCTGGGGTCCTCCGTGGGTTGACACAGGAGATCAGCTGTGGCTCATCCTCCAGGTCCATCTGGTGGCAGGGCTGGAGGGAAGAGGTCCAGTGGGAAGTGACTTCTCTCTTTCCTGGACCAGACCTCTCCCTGCAGCATCCACACTCAGGTTCTGAGGACACTGGAAAGGCCCAGCCTGGGCAGATCCTGAGCTGGGGCTCAAGGCAGACCCTCAAGACCCTCACACACCTGGGAACAGCTGACCACAGAATGCCCGTCTCCAGACCTGCTTAAGGCCCAGAGCTATAAGCCACCTCTAGAGAAGGGTTGGGGGAGAGATGAGATGTGTGCTCCTCATATTCCTGGGGGGGGCAGTCTGGGCAGGCCAGCTCCAGGGGCTCCCTGCAGCCCTGGCTTGAGTCTTATGTCCTGTCCCCCAGGCTCCCCCTTTGGGCAGCACCCCCTCCCCTTTCACCTTCTGGCCCAGATCTGAGTGACAGGATCTGTCAGCAGGACAAAGTGAGAATGTTGAGGCCAGATTCCGGGGCCCTGGGATCCGGAGAGGCTGCATCATTGCGTGTCCTGAGCTATAGGTCTTGGGACGCGGGCCTCCTCCAGGGTCCCTAGGAACCTCGCTAACCAGAGCGGCCGCTGAGTGGACTGACCCGCACGCCCAGGGAGCAGGGCTGGCTTCCTCCGTACCCTCCCCTTGGGCCCCTACCAGGCCACTGCCAGGCACAGTAGGGCCTGGAGATGGTCAGCGAGGGGTAGGAGCTGGGAGCCGAAGCGCCCAACAGGCTGGGCCTGCAAGTCTTCCAGAGCGGAGTCTGAGCCTCTGGGGGCAGCTGAGGGGAGGGGCGGAGAGGAGTAGGGGGCGTGGTCTCCCCGGGGTGGGGTGAGGGGCAGAAGCAGCTCCGGGGTCGCCTCTTCCACCCCAGGTCCTGCAAGTCCTGACTCAGTCGGGAGGGGTCGGTGACAAGTTAATGCAGTGGCCACCAGGGTTGTCTGCCCACCAACCAGGAGGTCAGCCCTGGGCCAGAAGCCCGAGCAACATTTCAGCCCCGCTGCTCTTTGAGACCCGGACTGCGGCCGAGCCGCAGCCCCTCCCCATAGTACCAAGCACAATACTCGCGGGCCCCGGCTGCAGGGTGGGGTCTCCCGACCCCCGGGAGGGGCGGCGGGACTGGAGGCTTAGCCTCCGACCTTGCGGCGACCCGGCTCTCCCCGCAGTGCGGCTTCTGCCGCCGGGGAAATCCTGGAGGCCCGGGGGAGGGGGCGGCCGCGGCGGAGGGCGGGGCTGCGGGGCCAGTCGGGGCGGAGCGGTCCTTGTCTGCAGTGACCTTCACGCGTCCCTGCCCCGCGAGGGGCCGCCCGCCCTGAGCCGCCGGCGCCAGCCGCACTCGGCGCGCGTCTCCTCCCCCGCGGCAGCCGCGCTGGCCGTCCGAGGGGGCGGGGGTCTCCCGCCTCCGTCCCACTGAAACGAAACTTGGGGTGGCCTCCTCCCTCTCTCAGACGCTATCACACTGAAAAATAGGTCCGGGCCGGTCTGCGGCTCTCTCTCTCCCCCAGGGAGTGGGTGGGTTTTCAGAGTCTGGGGGCTCCCTTCTCCCGCCCTGGGATTCCGAGGGGCCCGAGAGCGGCGGGGTCGGGGTCGCGGGCAGCGCGCAGGGGCACTGGTCCGGGTCCGGCTCACTGTGGCTGAGGCGACAGGAACCCCTTCCCCTGCGCGCCCTGGCGAAGTGGAATGGGGAGGGGAGCCGCGGCCCCCAACCCCCAGGCCTCTCCCCTCCGGCCGGAAAAGAGAGAGCTTTTGCCACTGAGGGGTGCGCAAGTATGGGTCCCACCTGCGCTCACGAGGTGCCCCGCACGGGCGGGGGCGTGGGGTTGCGGGACCCTGTCTGCGAAGAGGGCCGGGGACCCCCGCCCGGGTCCACACCGAGAAGGTCGCATGGTGGTGGTGGGGTGGGGGCAGTATCTGAGATTCTAAGCTGCTGGGCGGGCGAGGGTCGCAGGCGCCGGCTCCTGGATCCCACCGAATCGGGCGAGGGGGCAGGGTTTGGGAGTAGAGAGGGGGGCGCGGCTCCGTCGCTCCCG